ATCATTCTCGGCTCATATCGCGAACCTAACTCGGTCATGCAGATTTCTCCTGTACAACATCCAGAGGATCTGACCCTTTCTCACTCGAGAGCCACCCAGGTGCTAGTTCAGTCTCTTGTCATTTCAAGGCTTGACCACTGCAACTCGCTCTTGGCTGGTCTTCCTATGCGGCCATCAAGCCTCTGCAACTCATCCAGAATGCAGCAGCACGGCTCGTCTTCAATCTTCCTAAGTTCAGTCATGTCACTCCATTGCTGTGCTCCCTTCACTGGCTTTCTGTAGCTGCATGCATCAGATTTAAAACCCTGATGCCTACAAAGCCAAAAACAGACCAGCCCCTCCCTACCTGATGGCAATGGTCAAAACTCGAACGGTACCTCGAGACCTTCGAGCTTCAAGTACAGCTCGGTTTGACCTGCCATCCTTCTTTGTACTGGCACCCAGGTGGTGGAACGAACTCCCACTGGCTGTCCGAACATCAGGGTCTCTCGCGGTCTTCAAATGCAGACTTATCTCTGTATACAGCACTTGAATGAGCACTGAGTTAAGTAATTAATTGTAATGTATTGTACTGCACTTCTTGAAATGTATTGCACTGCACTGTTTAACTCTGCTCCTTTTTCTCTAGGTATCAACACAGACTTTTGTTTCTAGCAGTATCTGAGCTCAGGACTGGCTTTGTAACTAGCAAAGATACTTTCTCTAGGAAGACAAAGCACTTTTTGTAAGTTGCTCTGAATAAGAGCATCTGCTAAATGCTGTAAATGTAAATGTAAATGTGCAAATGCTCCTGAATGTCCATCGCCCTAATCAATCACATTTGGAGCCCTGTGAACACGAGAATTGTCATCTTGGAATACAGGGATAGGATTCCTTAGTAAGATGATGAGCAAAAGTCAAAACCTGGTTGTCTAGAAGCTTAATGTAGACACTGTGGTTCAAATTTACTGTCACCTCAACCAAAGAACCCAATTCCATGTTAAAACACACCCAGATCATCACAGAGCCTCCTCCAGCTTGAGCCACACCTTGCACACAGTCCTCAATAAAGGCTTCCTGAGGTCTATGATTAACACGACGCAGAAACGAGATTCATCTGATTCATCGTTTTCAGTCATGAACAGTCTAATTTTTGTATTTCTTCGGCAACTGTGATCAGACAACTCTGTGAGCAGAAGTGAGCAAAGGACCTGCGTTGACTTCTAGAAGCAATTTTTGCCTGGAAGTGAAGCTATTTTTATTCACAAGCCAAAAAACACGTCAGCGGTCCCTGTCCATCAGTTTCATCATTCTGCCGCAATTCTTTTGAAGATTTCCTGTAGACTGGGATTTTTGCCACTGCTGTTAGACCCTTATGAGCGTATGCTTCAATGTACCTGACTTCCTTCACACTATGGCCTTTGGCACACCCAAATGCAACCACTCCTTTCTGTTAATTATTAAAATCTGCTTTTTCTGCTATCCAATTTTCCACACATTGAACGAGACATTCACTGCACTATACCACCTCTTCTCAATCTATGAATCCTGTTGCACATGCTGCAGATATCTGCAGCCCGATCATCCGTGTAATGCCAGCTGCAGAAGCCTGAAGTTACTACCACCTTAAACACGCAAGGTGACTAATTTTTTGTCCGGGGAGCTTATATCTGTCCCTTAAAATATGTTATTTTATATCAGTTCACAGCAAAAAGAAAAAAAAAAAAACTAAAACATGATTTGCTGTTTCTGCAAGGTTGTTCTTTTACTACAAAAGCTGGCATAGGCTCTGTGAAAATGTATATGCAGACATGTAACATTACTGCAATGCATCGAGTCATTACAGGTAAGACATAAATGGGCTAAAAACATGCTTCATGCCCACTGTGGCAGTATGCTTTAGCCTAGGATGATTAGGTTTAGGTTTTTAAGTTTACTGTGTTGTTTTTCCTCATTTTTGCATATCTCAGTGGTCTGATTTTAACTGTCATTTTAACTGTCGTCTTCTTTGCGTCTGCCCACCATAGTAGTAACCTATGTTTTTGGCTTTAAATAATTAGGTATAGGTTTTTAAGTTAGTTGTGTTTTTTCCTTATCTTTGTACATCTCAGCTATCTGATTTTAATTTTGTCATCTTCTCTAGGCAGAAGCTGTGTCTGTGCTGAGCGGGTGCATGCTTTATAGTGAAGGGTGCTACAGTGTTGGTTGTGTTTATGTGAATCCAGCTTTTTGATTGCTATTGTTTTGCATCAGGGTGGAAGTGTTCGGATATGTAGGTTGATAACTGCACTGCCATTAGGAATAACATGAAGCCTGAGGTAATGACAATGTGGGACATTAGCACATTTTAAAACTGTATCTTCAAAGTTTACCTACCCACTTTACATGAGTGTGCAAAGTTTGAGGTGGACTGGTCTGCATCACGTAACTCCTGGTCTGAGAACAGTCCACTCCGGCCTTGCCTTATGTTGATATATGAATGTTAACTGACTGACATTTTAGACGAGGAAGCGTTGAATCTGAGGATACATAATATTTGACGAGAATGTGATCATGTAAAACGCAAAGGCCTGCAAAAGCAGAAGGGCCTGAAATGTCAGCCCAAAAGAGCTTTACGCGTGAAGGGTTATTGATTGTGAAGAGTATCTTGTACATAAGACCCAAAAGTCAATGGTTGTAGCTCCAGTCCAGGCATTAAACTCACGAAGAAAGCAAAGATGATACTTCTCAAGCTTCTCTTGCTGTCCATGTCCTTGGCCCAGTCTTGTCAGCATGTAGGAATTCGCAGGGAGCTGTCATTTTTGAAAGTCTCGTCACAGTACAAAAGTGAGATGCTTGCGTTTAAACATAGCGGACCAAAACAATAGACCAGTCAATGTCTCCAGCCTCCTCGACCAAAACCCATTCCCCCTCTGATCTGCCTAATTCACCGTGACCATGTTATCCCCCATTGCAAAACCCAGTGCTGCCGAGACCACAATATGTTCATGTTAATAAAAGCCAGCTGTAGCTCTCCTTGCTGAAGGAGAGAAAGGAAGAAAGCACTGCTCCAAACAAATAACATGGCCGCCATGAGTGAGAACGCTCCAAACAGGATGTGGCCGCCACCCCCACCAGAGCAAATATTTTGCCGAGTCACACTTGCTTAGGACGAGGGCGGAGAGACACAGACATAACAGACCTTTCCTTTTCGTTCTGCCTTTTCTTTTTTTAAAATTGTTTTTTTTTTTTCTTCAGTCTTTTCATTACTCGACTGTTGCCTTTGCAGAGCCCGTTAGCCGTAAATCCCAGCCAGTCATGCAACGGCACATGTAAATACCCGACAATTACGCAAACTTCAGTCTAGCTTCTGAATCGGTCACCACAGCCTGTCACTTTAGGAGTCGACATAGTCCGACTTGTTTATTTGGGCTCCCTCGCTAGGGCTTAACATTTCTGTGGCGAAGTGTATAGTCTTCATGATGACCAGTTTATTCGCACAGTAAAAACACGAATCACTTAATGACTTGTAAACCTCTCCAGCCGCACAGACTTTACTATGTGTGGTTTGTGAGCACTGCTGTTGTTGATCAGAACCTCTGGTGCTGTACCTAAAACTGGCCTGCCACTTACTTCATTGCAGGGATTTTCAAAAGAGAAACTGATCTTTCTGGAAGTCAAGCTCTGAAAGTCTATCCCTAATTACACAGTACATTGGCAGAGCTAGTTGTTTTAGTATTAGAAGTTTGTAACTGCAACTTACAGCCATTCTTTGCTGGGTTTTCAATAGAAACCCCAATTTGCCACAAGTCTAACTCTGAGAGTCTCTCTGTAGACTGACTATTGACTAGCATTAGCATTTTGTAACTGCTACCATTCTTTGTAGGAGTTTCAACGGAGAAAGCTTCATCTACATATCTAGTCTTTCCCTAATTGCACATTGGTAGTGCTGGCTGCAAGATGTATTAGCATTAACTATGACTTACAGTCATTCTTTGTTGAGTTTTCAACAGAGAAACTCTGAAAGTCTCTTTGTAGCTAAATGCTAGGAAACTGGCCAGATAGATCAGCATTAGCTGTTCATCTGACAGCCACTCTATAGTACAGCAAGTTTATTCGTTTTTGCGAGTGTGTATATTACATTATACTTTGCTCCTACAGAACACAAACACCTCCCGTTTTTAAGGACGTAACTAAAAAGGCTGAGACAGCCCAGATTTATTACTAACTAGGCTAACTACTTTAGCTGATGTAAGCAAGGTCTAGAAACAGTGAAAAATCTGCTTCCATGACAAACATTGGTGCATTCTCTGCTGGCGAGAAAAGACCAGCAGTAACATTTATCAGAGTCATTATCATCTAGCATTGCACTGTCTAGCTATAGTTTAAGCTCATTAGCTCATCTGAGACACCCTCTCTTACTCATCTAACAAGAAAGCCTACTGACCAGTTTGAAACTTTTATAAAAGTCTTCAAATGTATACGTCTCCCTGCTGCCAAATTCTTGGCAACACCAATGCCGGCATCTAAAAAGGTAAAGCTACAAGGTTATTATGTAATAATAATAGCCAACGTCAATTTTTTGCATTGTCCGTTTTTTGCATTTTCCTTCCACGCAGCTAATCCGTTCATTAACCTTTAGTTGATATATTGATAGAGTTGACTGCTACAGAAAATGTTTAGCAAGGCATATTAGCATTAGCATGCTGCATTCACAGTTGCTGTGTAACTGTGTAGGAATACATACAAATTCTCAGAGCATATTGTCGCTGTCGGAACAAAACCTTGTATCTCCATTTTTGCCATTTTTCATTGTTTTGACATAATGAGAAAATGCCTGTTACTCTTTACATTGTCTGTAAATTTCATGACAAATGGACCAAAAGAAACGGCCCAAAATGACTTGGAAAAAAGTCTGGTTCCATTGACTTACATTATAAGTACAGCTGGTTTTTTCCTTCTCCTGTAAAGTTACCATTTTGGTCACACGAGGTTTTGTTCCGACAACAGCGACATATGACTGTACAGAGGAATGGCCTTACTTGTAGAGGCTATCAGGCTCCAGGCACTTGAAGATCAGTGAGTAGATAGCTGAGTGAGGATGTTCTCCACTTCTTCTTCCTGGCACCACACATGAGGAACCCAAGCCTGAGAACAAGTCATCCACCAGACTCAGCACCTCTCCTGACAATCAGAGACAGAAAATGTGAGTGAGAAAAACTCTGTAGGAAAACACTTAAATAATCCCAGGCTGGAAATTTAAAACTAACACTGTGAATCTTACACCAGCTGTCCTTGTTGTAAGTTTGGCCTTCATTTTTCTATTAGAGCTAATCAGCAAAGAGCAGCTGACTCAACGAATCTCCTATGTTTATACAAAAGCCTTCTAGGAAACGCCACATACTTTTATTTCATTTTACTACTGTCTTTTTCATTTCTTTGAGGAGAAACATTACATTGCAGTTGGCACCCGTGTGTCTCGTAAACACTAGCTGACCACATGACTTCTCTGAAGACTGCATACTGGAAAGTTATGATACACTAACAAAACAGTTCCCAGCACTACCCAAGAGGTGGACGATTTAAAAAAGAAAGCAAGCAGCAAAACATCTTGATTTTAGAGACCTTCCTGTAAACGAACATACCTCGCAGACCTGATTCGTTTTGCTGATGGGCGCCAAAATACATATCAATATAGCATGATGTGTCTAGGTTGTATGGAACAGGGGGGCAGTTAAAAATGGCTTGCAGAAGGGAGGTCTAGGAAAAAAGGAGGGGTCTGAATGAATGAAGGATTTAGCCACTTTTCCAGAAAGCAGACTGTATATAAGGAAAACTTCCCCCTCACATTCTGACACCTTGAGAGTGCCCAAGCCAAAATCTCTTTTCCTAAGGTCCCAAACCCCCCCCAGCCTTCTCTCTGGGGTCCACCACGTCTCAAGAACTTCTGTATATTTTACAAACTTGACATTAATTAAACAGAAAACAATGGAATGGTAACTCCACATTAGACCACAAAGAGACCCATGTTGAATAATCTGAATGATGGAATGCCTTGAATTCATGCATAGTTTCCTCTCTTCCAAGAAATCCAAACATCTTATGTTCTATATGATACAATATTTCATCCACACTCCCCTTGAAGCTGACAATGAAAACAAAGTATGGTAAATATTCCTACACTCCATACGCTATATTTAATGCAAAATTAGCCAAGGGGTTACAGGAGGCTACAATGAGAGACATTGTACCCCGCTATAACCCTTGTGGGGTGCAGGGGAGTGTGAACGTGTACATTCACGTGCATTTACGCCTAATGTCTAATTAATTATTTCAAAATAATCAAAATGAAATGTGTGACAAATTGAACATAATCAGTTGTAATCACTCTTTTTTAAAAACTGTGGTCTGAAGTCTTTCTAATCTTTTTTTTTTCCTTGAAAGAAGAATGACATCAAAGCCAACCTTTGGGTCAGTAGTGGTCATTCTTACACATGCTTAGCTCAAGCATAAGAATGTTTTGTATATGCAAACTTGAACAATGTACTTGGTGAAGCGGCCTGTGAAACCTGGTCAGTGTTTGACCACAGAACAGCCCTTGTCTGGACATTTTTGGGTGGCAGACCTCTTTCAGCCTAGCAGTGGGACTGAACCATACCGACACTACTCAAAACACCATGCCAACACCAGGTCATTGTCACTGCTGTGCTGAGGATGGTCCACTACAAACATAATACCTGGTCAACAGAGACTGACCGATAATGAATGAGGCACAACAGTGGTCATGCTACTTCTGGAGTTCCACTTTCCTTTAGAGTTTAGTACCAACCTGCATCTAATCAATCAGGGACTTCTGAAGAAATTAATCAGCTAGAGCAGGAGTGGAAGACCATGGTTCAAACTACAGACTATAGGAAGGCAGATCTTCAGGGTTGGGGTTGGTGACCACTGGGGTAGAGGGTAGCTGACAAACTGTTCATGACAACCGACGGACAACAGTTTGTAACTGTACACCTATATGATGGACTTATAATGTAGGCAGAGATCATAACATGGTCACTGAGTGGATGTTTTTCATGTGACTTACGAAGACCTTCAGCCCACACATTGGAAAGTATTTCCATCTCTGTATGTTCCTATGGATGGGGGCTTTAAGTAGAAGATGGATCTCTGACAGAAGCCACATTGTCTTGGCAGACAAAAAAAAAGTCCCTCCGTCTTTGATGTAGTCCAGGCCGGCCGCTGGTGGGCCTCTGCGTTGCGTAAACACTGCTGTTATGATTTTACCGTCCGTGTGGCCTTGGCCTGAATAGCGTGGGGGCTCTGGGAGAATTTATGGAACATATCTGCCGTTACGTCTCGTTTGTTTGCTTTTTTTGCACCCGCGCGCCCAGAAGCGGGGGCCGCCTGGTTCGTGTTAAATGTTAATTGCTCTGCAAAGTGTTCAGAGATACAGTATTGCTCAGGCTGTGGAATCACACACACACACACATCCTCCAAGCGCTCCATGATGATCTAAGCGACACTTTTATGAGTTTTTCCCTCCTTTCTTTTGAGTTAACCCCTTAAACTGCAGGCTCATTATCCAGCAGCTACTATGGGTTATTCAGTAACTGCAATAGACACTCTTAGAACTAGACTGCTGATGACACCACTATATACACCATATACTCCCTGCTACTGTAAAATGAATGCTTGTCTATGAATGCAAAGTGAATATATTGCCAAAAATTCTGACATAACACAAATTGTGAGATCTTCTGTGTTTTCCTGCAGCCATTTCCAAGACATTTCATGAGTTTTCATTCATGACTAAAATAATGTAATCTAGCTGGTCTGAGTGGATCAGACACAGCAGTGCTGCTGGAGTTTTTAAACACCTCAGTGTCACTGCTGGACTGAGAATAGTCCACCAACCAAAAATATCCAGCCAACAGTGTCCTGTGGGCAGCGTCCTGTGACCACTGATGAAGGACTAGAGGATGACCAACACAAACTGTGCAGGAACAGATGAGCTATCGTCTCTGACTTTACATCTACAAGGTGAACTGACAAGGTAGGAGTGTCTAATAGAGTGGACAGTGAGTGGACACAGTGTTTAAAAACTGATCCACTCAGACCAGCACAACACAGACTAACACACCACCACCACGTCAGTGTTACTGCAGTGCTGAGAAAGATCCACCACCCAAATAGTACCTGCTCTGTGAGGGTCCATGGTGGCCCTGACCACTGAAGAACAGGGTAAAAGGGGGCTAACAAAGTATGCAGAGAAACAGATGGACTACAGTCTGTAACTGTAGAACTACAAAGTGCACCTATATAGTAAGTGGAGCTGATAAAATGGACAATGAGCATAGAAACAAGGAGGTGGTCATAATGTTATGCCTGATCAGTGTAACTGATTCATTGTTTCATAGGGATAAATGTAGTTGCCTGTATATATGTAACCACACTCATCTTAGTATTAATATACAGTTGTATGCAAAAATTTGGGCATCCCTGGCCAATGGACATAGTTTGATGATTTTTGTACCTCTGCAGCAAACAATTAAAAAAAAATCTGTGCATGCAAATGCATAGTTACGTTATATTTCATTCATTTAAAAAGTAGAAAACAAAATAGCAACTGTAGCACAACAAAGTTTGGATACCTCACTAAGTCAGTACTTTCCAACACCCCATTTGGCAAACATCACAGCTTGCAAACACTTTTTGTAGCCAGAATCTTTCTATACCTCTTAAATCTTCATTGTAAGAATTTCCACCCACTCTTTCCTTGCAGAATGCCTCTAGTTCTGTGATATTCATAGGCTGTCTTGCATGAACAGTGTTTAAGATCTCTGCACAGATTTTCAATGATATTCATGGGAATGTGAGAACCATTCCAAAAGCTTCAGCTTGCGTTTCCTGAACTACTGTATGGTGGATGTTGAGGTATGTTTTGGGTGATTGCACTGCTGAAGAAGCCAGCCTCTTTCCAGCTTCTGTTTCTTGACTGACTGTGTTTCTTCCAGAATTTGCTGATATTCAGTGGAATCCATTCTTCCATCTACACAACGTTTCTGGTGCCACTGGCTGTTATATAACCCAAAAGCACAGAAGATTCACCCCACGATTAACAGTTTGCAAGGTGTTCTTTTCATCAAATGCTGCTCCTTTTTGTCTCCAAGCATACTTTTGATGGTTCCTTTTATTTTTAAACTTCATCGGCCCTCAGCACTTGTTTCCAAAAAGCCTCTGGCTTATCTAGATGTTTTGCGTATTTCAGACATTGACTTTTGTGATGAGGTTTCACGTATATATAATGTGCATATAGATAATGTGCATTAGTGTGTCACAGCAGAATGGTGCACTACCACTCTTGTGTCAACTAAACCTTGTTGTCCCCTTTGTAAGAATGAGGTTTAGTTTAGCTAGCTCTCGACTGACAGCAGATTGCTCAGATAAATCAGGGGCTAAGAAGCTTCTTCTATAATATTCAGAGTATATTCACAGCAAAAAGGGCCTGGGTTCGATCTCCAGCTAGGTGTCCAGGGTCCTTTCTGTGTGGAGTTTTTTAAGTTCTCCCCGTGTCTGTGTGAGTTTCCTCCCACAGTCCAAAAACATGCAGTCAGGCCAACTGGACACGCTAAATTGCCTCTAGGTGTGAATGTGTCTGTCTGTCTGTCTGTCTGTCCTGCGATAGACTGGCAACCTGGCCAGGGTGTATCCTGCTTTCTGCCCAATGACCGTTAGGATAGGCTCCAGCACCACCCACGGTGACCCAGAAGCATAAGCGGTTTAGAAAATGTGTGTCTATGCCTCCCAAAACTCAAATGCCCCATTTATGTAACTGCCATAAGTTATATTGTATCCAGTGTGGAAAAGTGAATGTAAACTCAGCTTGATTGTAATGTAATAGACCGATTCCCACAGAGGGAAATATAGCGCTATTTAAAGTTAGCATTAACAACAGAAGTTAGAGAAAAACAAAAGCTTTTCAAAAGAAAAATACATTATATTGAGAAAGATCCGATGTTTTTTTCTTTGCAGAGATAAATGAAAGAAATACATCAGATTTTAAATCTTTAAAAAAACAAAAGATCTTTAAAATCAGTGTTGGGGGGGGGTGTTTGCAAAGTTTCTCTGCAGTTCTTTTCCTCATGCGATTAGTAGTGACAGGGGGTCAAGGGGTGATTCAG